AATAATAGTAACTACCGATAGCTTCATTTTTAAATTGTTGATTTCATTCGATGATAGACTATACTGATAATTAGCACAGTAGGTATAAAAAATTTTCATTCATGAGTGGGTTGGTTGTGAATATTAGATTTTAATCACAATAGGGCTAGGATCATATTTGAGAATATTTTAATTTTATCTGAATTATTTCTAGTTACATTAGTCACTTCATCATTCGATTTGTAAGTAGTAACTTACTTTATATTACTTGTAAAGTCTGATTTGATCTACTTCAGGATTTATCCTTACTTCTCGACTACTTTGCAGAAGCTTTAGTTATATATAATCTGTGTGTAGTTCCCTTCTATGTTCTATCTTCTGACCTTGCAATTTTATCCTGCTTCATCTGTTATAATGTAGCATTTCTTATCAGAAGTTTTCATTTGATTTTATTATCATTATTACTATTATAATTGTCTTATCATCTTTGACTGTATGTATAATCTACACTACAACATACTTTTACTGCACACACTATATGGAAACCAGTTTCGGGACATCGGTCCCATACTTAGGTTTTTTTGATTTTATTCGGATTTCATAGTTGTGTGGTTCAAACAACCTTGGTACGGTCAGCATTTCGTCTAGTACTTCTCATATTGGTATTTATTTTACTATGTGTTAGTTCCCGTTGCGAAGGTTTGACTTGATAATTTCAAATAAGTTGGGGGTTGAGCTGATCATTTATGCTAACAAAATAATGGAATGTCATGAATCCTGAAACTACACAGAATTAAATCGTTCTATATAACAACTAGCACTCTTCGAATTAAAGGAAAGATCTCTTTTACTTCTGCATAAAGCTGTATTTAAAAACTATGTTTAAGTGTTTCCTAGGTCAAAGAGTCTTCCCGTGAAATCTCGACCAATTCTAAAGAATATCTAAACTACACAAAAAACCTTATAGATCTGTAGAGCTGGGAAATTTACCGATCAAATCAGCATTAGTATTAGATGCTTATTTTGAAGCTATCAAGTCGATATAAAAAATATCAAAATTCAAAAAATCCTTCTAAATATAGAGAAAGACTGGCTGTTAAAGCTTTGTTAAACGCCACAACTAACAATAGTAGGGAAGACCTAACTATTCAGCGAACTTCAACCGTTCATTCAAAAAACCGCATTTAAATTTGTTCATTTCTTATATAATAAACACATGATAATTCTGCTCTGTTCTTTCAGATTTAAAAAGTATTGCATTTTTCACACCCACTCGCACACACAATGATATCTAATACAAAATCACCTTGACCGAAATCTCGTTACACTGGTACGATCAGATTCAGTTTAATCGTACCAAATATTCTGTCTTGTCCTTCTGCACTGTTTGAATTTGCGTGAGCTTGATTCGGCTATTTAATTATTTTTTGAAGGAGACATGAAACGTCAGGAACTCAATTTCTTAATTACTAAGGTACCACAAATATGTGGACTAGTTTTGCTTACATTAAAGTGAGTTTTAAAAACTTATTTATTGGTTTAGTCGTTTGACTCTGGACTAATGAGTTACGTGTACAAAGCCTCTCGATCCCAACTTGGAAACGTCTCTTAATGTACTCAATCGTAATTACTTGCCAAAAGCTTCATGGATTTATGCCTATTCTTAATCCGTCACTTATTGACGTAGCATATTAAGGTAGATGTAAGCTTTTGTGTGACTCGTGCAACCGTTCTCTAAAAAAATGCATGCTTTATATTGTTGTCAAATTTAATATCTTGATTTTTTGGTTCCATTGATTACTACTGCATTACTTTTAAAATTACACTAAATACTTGAGCTCATTAGTAGCCGGTTACTGTAGTTATTTACCGCAATTTTTAGTGTTAAATAAAGCATGCTAATAAGTCAACTTCATAAGCACTACAAAACTATCTCATTTTTACATGTATTGAAATTCATGTGTTTATCATTCAAAGTGTTGTCAAATAAGATCGCTTTCCGATTTGTATTCTTTAATAAAATGTGTAGAGGCTACGCTATATCTGTCTCTTACATCACTACGTTGAAGCGGTTACATCGGCAAGAATAGTTTTGTTCGATATTGCATAGAAAAATAATACCATGCAAAATTACTTTATGATGGTACTTTGCGTTTATCCAAACAACCATGTATTATTTCATACTTTCTATAAAAATGCATGGTTGATTATTAAACATGTCTGCTTATATTAACTCTTTACTGTTTGTATAAAATCTTCAGTATTGTGATGTGACTCACTCCCCACTTCTGTTTTTTCTTTACAACTAGGAGTCTCTCGCGTACCACGGGGACAGCAATTAGCTCACACGGTGAAGTGTAACTGGTGTATATATTGTACAGTACTTGTAGTGTTTTGTTAGTTAAAACGTGTTAGTGTTGCTTCATGAATAAAATGGTTTAATTTGTCAATTTAAGGACTTATCATTGATCAGTTTTGTTTCGTTCAAGTTATGATTAAAACTTGACAAACTATGGAGGACAAATCTATGTTGTCTATTTATTGTGATGTCTTTTTGCCTACCTCGTTCTATATATTTATACTTAATTATTGAGGCTGACTTGTGAGTCTTATCGTTAGTGAACGTAATTCCATGCAGTTCGTCCATTCAATCTTGAAACCTGTTTATAACCCGTCACTAAATAGCATTTACTATGACTCAAACGTAAACGTTTTCTGAACAGGTATGTTCGCATAACAAAATCCGGTTTACAGTCTCACACTGTTTCGGAGAATTGTGAATGTTCTTAAGGTTTGAGGGTAATCTATTAAGTGCGTTTGTTTCAGTATAAGGCTTACAAACTTCCTCTTAAGTTACGGCATAAACTTGACTATTAGCAGTTCGGGTGCACGGTTTTGGTTTCATTGTATTTTGTGAGATAGACAATTCGTTTGTAGGTTTTTTGCTTTCTTGTCGCTTCATCCTACTTTATGCAGACCAGAAGACAAAATAGCATAATCGAGCAATTGTAACACCCACAAAACAAATGGCTGCCGCGCACGGGATATTAATTCAGACAAAGTGTATGTCGTCTGGTAAAAGCAAGGAACTAAAGGAGGGGACCGATCTAGGTCTTATGTGACGTCGGGTTCACCAATGCGGGCGTCAGTTTATGTTGGGAATTATGCGCCTAACACGTCGCTCGACCAATTATACTAATCCTCAGAGTGAACTGAGGTAGCGTGGTTTTCGGTGTCAAAGCTACATTGGTGTCTGGTGGTTGAACTCGTCTTTAGTGCATATAGTTCAACAACATAGATGGTCTGCGTTGAGTTATCTTAGGTCTACTCGAGTTACACATAAATGATGTGGGCAATCAGCCCAAGTAGGAGTGATACCTCACTGTTAGTACATGATGTGGATAACCCATTCGTCGTATCCAAGTGCAATGGCTGCTTTGGTGGCCGTATAACGCAAATGACATTATCACGTAAAGTTATGTTGACGGCAAGGAAGCTGAGTTAATTAGCAGTCATAGCAACAAGCGGGCTATTGTTTCTATCAATTTCTAGTGGTCTGACATGAAGATCGATAAAATTGCTTCAGGTGTCATATAATAAAAACCAAGTAAACCTTGAAATCAAAACTTAAGGTTCAGGGTATTCGTCTGCTTCTTGAAGTACTTCATCTGAAGTGACGAACAATGACATTAGGAGGGTCCCAAAGATGCATTAAAAGAAATTAGAGCATTGAGAGTTTTGACTGAGATACATAAAATACTGATGATCATATGAGGAATAAATAAACTCAAACATTGATATCTGCCTCTGGTAATTAGCCGAACTAGTTGCATATGCATATTCAGAAAAAGGTTTGTAGTGTGGCGTCGAATCACGGTTGGCCATGAACACAGCTACCAAGAAGGGCGTGACAAATAAATCGATAAAATCCCCCGGAAACCATATATCAGAAGGCAGTTAATGGACCAAGTCGAGATATATTTGTTGGCGATCTCGTGGTATCGAAATACCGACATCGTGCTTGGTTACAGAGCGCAACCGATTTCGCGCGAGTTCACAGTCAAAGTGTGTATAATGGATGTTTTTAGCACAGTTAAGCAAAGAGCACATTAAACATTCACTGATACAATTGTTTATAATAATAATTGTTTTCAATAAACCAATCGTGTTCTCGTGATAAAAGTAAGTCACTACAGGTTTTTGAAAGCATGAAACGATGTTAAGACTATATGTTAATGGGATTGATAAAGCCTACGTTCAATAAGAATAAAACGTAACAATTTTTCCATGATTTCGGAACGCAACCTTACGAGAATCATTAGTTCATTTTCCCGAACCTCGAAACGTTCATACTGACAGTCACCTCACTAACAAAGACAATGTTTATGTCGAATAAATTTTAAAAACTTTAATCAAGTTAATAAGTTGGACATTAAAGTGACAGCATTATAAAATATATCCGAAACTAAAACTAATCACTGTCCGACAGCACATTTGTTCAGAGTTAGTTTTTTAAGAGTGTGAAGTTTCCTTTAAGATCGAATTGAGTCAAAGCCTGGTCCAATGGCTGTGAATAAAATGGTTGGAATAGTTATGATGAATTAGTTTGAAACATACTGAATCTTCATCGATTGATGTTTTTGAGACATATTTGGTGGAAGTCAAATCGCTATGTTTCTAAACGTGTAATGCTGTCTGGCATAGTGCAAGGTAGACAGAAAGCTTTAGGTAACCAAAACAAAAACAGGCCTCAGCCATGAAGCAAATGATCTCACTTTCACATGTTATCCAGTTTTAAAATCATACATTCATTTCGATTGTTTATTTCATCCAGCACGTTGAGATGTATTACCTAAGCGTATTCATATATGTGTATATAGCTTTAGATAAGTAAGGTGAAGTTCGCGGCTTAGATTATTCCGTTTCACATGTCACAGATACTAGAAACATATAAACCTGCGCGAAAATGCTAGATATCACATTTTATTGAACATTGGAAAGGAATGTCTTCATCCTTCCATCAATTTCTTAAAGCGCGCGTGTGAGGTTGAAGGTCAGCCGAAAACAGGTGTAGATGGAGAATGCGGTTCCTGAATTCGCTCGTCGTTTGTACAAAGAGTGGCGTGATTTTACAGCTGAACCAGTCGAAGGTATCCATTTGATGCTCAATGAGCAAGATATGACGGAAGTTCAAGTCAGTTGTATTTCTGTCTTCTAATTTGTCAGGTCGTACTTGACGGTCCTGTTGGTACCCCTTATGATGGTGGCAAATTCCGTCTGAAGATGTTGATCCCTATGCAGTATCCGATGGAACCGCCGAAGGCTTACTTTTGCACGAAGATATTCCACCCAAACATAGCACCAAACACCGGAGAGGTTTGCGTAAACACACTGAAGAAGGATTGGAAATCCAATTTAGGACTACGACATATCCTTCTAGTGAGTTGATGAGTTGGAACTTACTCTTTAGACTATAAGGTGTTTGTTGATAGAACCCAATCCAGAGTCAGCTCTTAATGAGGAGGCTGGAAAATTGCTATTAGAAGATTACAGTGAGTTTGTGGCAGAAGCTCGGCTCCTCACAGAAGTACATGCTTACTGGCACGTTCGGGAACAAGCGAAAGTCAGTAGTCAGAAGATGCATCAAGACGACCATGCAAGTATCGATATGTAAGTTGACTCAGCACGTGTATAAACTTGATGTTAATACGTAATCTAAGCTTACAATTCAATATTTACAAGGTCGCAGAAAATCTGCAGTCAGAAGACATAATCAATATTTTTTAGTCCCGCCTATTGTATTCTCCCGAGTTGTTTAAGGTTTACCACCTAATTTTATCTCTCCTAAGTTTTAGTTGTGTTCCTCTCGATTTTCGTGACAGTTTTGTACAAGCCATGTTACAAACTCCGTTTATCTCCTTTCAGTATTATATTTTATAACTAAAGGCTGTCATATCGAACGAAAACGAAGGGTATTGTCTGTATAGGATTCCGATGGTAGATGCGTTAGATATTTATTTGAACCTCTTCTGAAACTTTATTCCTTGTTGCAGATTTAGGCGTAGGGTTGGTGACAGTTAGGTACCACTGACACTTATCAGGTCAAAGACCAGAAAAGTCAGACAAGACTACTTTCATTATTTTGGTCGCGATATGTATTAGTAATCATATAAATGAAATTCCATGGGCTGCGCAGTATAGCGTTTCGTGTTTAGGTTTTCTTTGAGCTTTCACAAATGCTTTCTTCCATGTAGTCTGGTCATGGTACATGTGTCCCGTTTGTATCCTTTATCCTATTTAAATTATTTGTTAGTTCTAGTTATGGTTATGTAAGTTACTTTTCAGTCGTTGATACTATTGTTGGAAGTTTGCGAACTAATTCCTACTCAGACTTTTTGCACAGTAAATAAATGTAACTGATGTAAGATGTGTTGATATAAATAATATTGAGTAACGTAATCAGAGTATTAGCTGTGGGTTGTCTTTTCCTAAATTTCTCATAAAATGATTTTTATCCAATTAAAATACATTAGCTCATAAAGACCTTCAGTAGTAACGGTTTTTTTTTAACGTTTGTAACCATGATCTAGTAACTATTTTCACAGAACAACATAAAATTACGTGATAAACTCCACATTGTTCTCAAAGTCTCGGTATTTCGCTGTTATCTCATTTCAGGTCAGGCAATTCGACTGATGCGCGTACACATTCTAAAGTGACACAACGCAACAACTCATTATTTCGTAAAGCGCTCAAACGGTTGTAGTACCTAGGAGCGCAATGCTCCCTGAATGAAGACTTGTAATGAATAATCTATACCTTGTGCATTTATGTAAATTACATGATAATTGTACTTTAGCTTACTTTTAATTCCTACCACTGAATATTTTGGTCGATAACACAAAAACAGTAGCTGAATTTATTACCACGTGAATCAACCTATTAGTGAAAATATGATCTAATTACATCAAGCTACATTTTCCGAACCCTAATCAAAGATCTAAATTATTAGACGTGCATAACACCTATAAAATGCGGGATGATTAGTACGAGCAAACTCGTGTTTTAGAAACAGTTGACTTATTTCCTCACCAGTTGTAGAGAAAGAGGTCTGTTAACCCAGATGACCTACAACATTCATTGTAGTGAGGATGTTAAGATGTGTATCGGGCTGTGTGATGTTTAAAATCCAGAACTGTTCTGTTTTACGACTGAAATTAAACAGCTGAAGATAAAGAACATATAGTTATATGCATTTGACTATCAGTGTTGTTGACGGGACCATGGAGTACACAATGCTAACGAGAAACGTTGGGAATTACGGTGTTAATCTGCACTGACTAAGGTGATCAGGAGATATTTTGCACTTTGAGATGTATATCACAATTTATATGGAGCAGATCTACAACGGTAGAAACCTGAAAATAGTCAAACTGACAAGTTGGACAACTACGTGTGATACCGACCTGCATAGAGTATTGCGTAATCTGTGGTCATCGTTACGAAACTCAGTAGTTTGACAACCTAATATTGCATCGATTTACATGATGTGAGCGTAGACTATTATCGTAAATCCTAATCATCTTATGGTTGTGTTTAATTACCCTGTTAACATTTTTCTCTATCTTATCAAGCTTTGTAACCTGAATCAGTGCATTATACTGCTATAGGTTTTAAAAAGATCTTTTTTGTCTATAAAAATAAGCTATGAAGTTCTAAATAACTTGGAAACTAATTAATTGGTCAATAAAGAGATAACAAAGTAATGCTTAGGTACGATGAGTTGGACGTCAACGTATGTCAGTGGAAACGGAAAAACCAGTAGCCATTTGAAATTTTATTTTATTACAGTCCATGATTTTTTTCAGCCGAACACCCTAATAATCAGTAAAATCCATGCAGAAACAACAATATGATTATGCCATCCTGATATTCTTGGAAGAGCAGGTAGTTGATAGTTTAAAACTGATCTAGTTCTTTCAAAGTGAATTCTTTTCTAAACAGTATTTAGATTATTTAGTGTTTGTAAATATAATTCATTCGCCAAATATAAGGTTAAACTATTCGGATTCGGGCCACACCCGTTTGGTCAAACCGAAATAGGTGATATGATGCGCGAATTTACAACTTACACCTAACTAATAGTTTAATATTTCTGAAATACACAAGCACTGTGTTCTATCGGTAAATAGTACAATTGGCGTAAGAGAAAAACGGAAATTACTTTGAACAAGGTCTGATGCAAAGCCCAGGAATGAGGCCAAACTTTCAACTAATTGAAGAATAGGTGACCTAACCAAACTATTTTTTTCCAAATCGCCTGACATTTCATCATGTTTACCTTGTGTTCATTTGCTGTATATGAACATGTTTCACTACATCTGCTTAGTGGTCTTGTTTCTGATTTCTAACTATTCATGGAATTAAGTCAATAATACAGTCTTGTGAGTGGCCATCATTTAACCACATCATATCGTTCTGTTCTCCTATCGTTTAACATTTCACCTATTGATTTCAATCTGAAATCCTGCCTCACCAACTATAACAAGAACACTATAAAAATTGTTAAAATGACTAGTAAAACAAATGAATCAATTTAAACAAAACGAAAACTATGGACAGAAGATATTCGTTGAAATCATTCAAACCCTAACAATGTAGTAGAAAACAACAGAAATTTACAGTGCTGAGTGTTATTTTGTATCACATTTTTGCAATTATTTTAGCAAGTATAAAGTGATGTTTATTGCAAACAAAAGTGCTTACTAGAAAGCAAATAAATTTAAGGAAAGTTACAATATATAGAATTGCAAAATTACTACTCGGTGCGTGTTTTTTTTTAAAAAAAAGGCAAAAGATTACACACTATACATGTGTTGTGACAATATGGACTTGAAAAACATTATAAGAGATCAAAAATATTTGATGATAACTCTAAAGCTGATAATGATAATTGGATCGGAGACAAACAAGTAGATTTTGAGCAATGCGTTGTGTTTAAAAAATGGTTGGACTTAAACTATTATTAATATAAAATATTAGAAACAGTATTTATTTCCATGTATGGACTTATGAAATAACTGGCGGTGGGGTTACTGGTCCGAATATTTCCTCTACATGTGTAAGCAAATATTCTATACATGGGACCTGTACAGACTTAAGTGCTCTATATGCGACAGACTCTACTTCTGGCCAAATTAAACTAGGTCCGAAAACAATAGCCAAATTGTAAGAATGCATTTGGTTGATACTGGATAATTGCATTACTCTAACAAATGAAAAAGTACAATACAAAGAAATGAAGTTTATTGAAAACAGATTTTAAGAAAGTTATGTGCAAGCTTATTTAAACAACCCTCAACTTTTAATGTAAATAAAGGATTCTATGTTTATACGCGTTATGACCAAGAACTAAATAAATCAATGTTACCTTATTTCCTCTGTCAGTATATCGATAAGACACTATTCTAGTATGAGTAGTTAAAGAGCTTCGATTAAAATACAATGGAATAATCTCCAAGTCACCAATAATGTACTCAAACTTAACGATTTTCTCTTTGACTTCACTCATCTCTAAGAACTTTTCATATGGATGAGATATAACTGGTCAGTCTGAAATAGTGTTCTTGATCTCCAAATACCATGTAACAACTTTTGAAGTTGATACTTTAACTTTCACCAGCTGGAATCTTTAAAATCCTTTTTAGAATGTGTATTGTTTTGAAAAATGCATAAAACACTTATTCCTGTTGACTTAATTCACCTGAAGTTATATGTTTAGAATTCAATTTGTGGATGTTTGAATCATCTGGAAATCTTGATATCCTTGATTTTAAGGAAATAACGTGACGACGACAAAGAAACATTTGGAGTGAATTTCATTCGGTAGTGGCACAAGCAATTTTTGACTGAGTGGTTTCATGAGGATGATTTAAAACCTACATAGAGTTCTATGTCCAAGCAATGTACAAGAAGTTATTAATTGTAAATCGAACCTCTAGATGGATACTGTTATTTCATATGGTTCGAAATTATTCGCGGATGCGGTAGTGCATTCGTTTTTCCTTGCTTTAAGAACGCAACACCACACAACAGCAATACATAACATTACAAGTGGTCGGTCACATGCGTATGGGATATCAATGGCGGCTTGCATAGCTGGATGCTAACAACTATAACTGATGATGCGTGTCATGGGATAGTATCCTATTGTTGCACTAGTCCTCTTAAGTTTGTAGATAGGCTCTTGCTGATATAGTGGCAACTACAAAAAGACCTTGGTCTATGTCGATTGTTTACAGTTCTGTTTTGAGAGACTATTCCGAATTAAGAACGTTTGGAAGATGTCTCCTAATACGGTAGGGATCTGGGCGACTAGTCCGCACAACATTTGAACAATGGAAATATCATGTGATTGAGGAGTGAGAGAGAAAAGACAAGAATTTGGGAAAAGCTTGAAGAAAGTAGATAAGCTATGTTGGTATATATATAATATATAATCCTAAATCACAATCGATTTTCACGTTTGTACTATATTGAGAATTCCTTTGAAAAAACGTAATTCTTTCGTAGTAAAACTTAACTTATTTCACCATCTTACCTGTACAAATGATGAAAAAATATTCGAGATGTGTTGATATGTGGGACAGGCATAGAATTGATCAATTCTCGCATTCTAATCACTTTTAAATCTGGCGCTATATCATTATCACCTATATATTGAATAAAAGGAAATCCAATTCAAGAACGATCCATAATTATAGATTATACAAAATGTTGTATTATACAGTGATATAAACTAATAACAAAGTAAACAGTATATATATCCATAAAAGCGATTGTGAATTGGAGGTTTCCAGACGGCCAACAGTAAATCCTATTTTATAAACAACTACGAGTCTTCTAAGACGAACAAGAACGAATATGAATTTCGACATACTGAACGTCGAAAACAATAGGTCATCTTTAATAACCGCAAGCTAACATGAGATAGAGAAAATGAGACTTTCAGGATAGCTTTGTATTCCGAACAGAAGTTGACAATTGACAAGGAACAACTATGCCTAGAAAGTAATATACAATGACCTCGGGGAACATAACGTAGCTAGCAAACTAAGAGCGATAACAAACAATCAGTTAACACCAAAGTTCATAGCGGGAATATGAATTAGAAAAATGTCACCGAAATTATCCATTAAGGAAGGGATTAGCATGTAATTACAGAAAGCTAAGTAAATTCACCACTCATTAGCAATTAAATAACCTATTCATAGTCGTTTCAGTATCTAGATAAAATAATATGATCAGTAGCAACGTTCCTCTAATTGCTTTCAAAAATTGTCACAAAGTTAATATACTGAACACAGTGATATTGGTTAGATGTAGATATGTAGCATTACCGTGGAGAGGAGATTCGAAAAAGTGTAATAATATTGAAGATGTAGTGTGTTGTAAATAAACAATATTTGAAAGAAGATAATGGATTTACAGAGGTTACAGAGCTAAAACAATTAACTGATTATGCTATGAAGACACAAATTGGCAGTAATTAAGAATAACATGAGTTGAGTTGAGACTAGTCAGTTGAAAATAAAGTCATGAATTTGAAATTAAAGATGCAGTAAAAATAAGGGAGAGTTGTGAGAATGATGTATTATATTGATGATAACATCACGATGACAAGGAAAGACACGCAACTGTTTCCCTTTGAATACACGAACCTAACTTGAGACATTTGTGACTATGGCTTCGGCAAACCTAAGAAGAACAAAGTTTAACTGTCACATGACATTTCTTCTGGAAACCTAATGCACTAGAACTTGTGTCTATTTAAGATGAGAATCACGTCCAAACTGGTTATTCCGAAAAGGATTTGAGCGTAGTTTTTATTCCAGAAACATTCTACTGGAAATTATCGTTAGTATTTCTATCGCAGAACTATTAAACGTTTGGGGTATTGTATTATTATCTCATATTTGAACATTTTCTCTCGACACACAAACTATTTTTTTACGTCTTACTGTTTCAGATTTTCCATTAGTTATTAACTTTTTTACTGCTCAATTTTGTACCACTTATGGTTGAGTTGTGTATACATTGTAATCTCTTATTATTGTACTACCCGAGCAGATATTCGAGGTAAAGTATTCTATGAGTTTTGAGTCATAAATG